CCAGCCCTATCACTCGGTCATTGAAAGTTCATACAGAACTTTGATCAGTTCCTCAAGCCCACTAACCTCTCTCTGGTTCATGTGTCTTTGTACAAACTATTGCTTCTGCATGGAGCCTTTCCCCTCTCTCCTCCCTGTCGTCCACTTCGTAGGGCTAACTCCTCATCACCCTTCAAGCCTCAGCTAAGGTGTCACCTCCTTTGGAAAGTCTTCCCTGATTCACTGAGCTCAGATGCCCTACCTCTGTGCTGTCACTGCATTCAGTACTTGTTAAATAACTGAATAAAAAGTAGGAAATAAAGAAGCCCTAAGTAAGGAAGCAGCAGCAGGATAAAAGAAGAAGGCATATTATATATATATTTAGGTGCTATATATATATATATGTATATATATATATGTGTGTGTGTGTGTGTGTGTATGTATGTATATATATGTATATATATGTATGTATATGTGTATATGTATATATGTGTATATATATATATAGAATTACTTTCTAGAATTACTATATATAGATTTAGGTGCTATAATTAATAGGTTTTGAAGACTGATTAATTGACTGATTAACCATAAGAATAAGAGTGAGGAAGCTCTAGAATAAGTCCCAGGTTTCTGCATTTATAAGCAGGTAGGAGATGGTACTGTTTGCTGAGAGAGCAAATACAGGAGGAAGTGTAAGGTGGCTTGAATGACAGCAATTTATTCCTGACAGGTCTGAAGGCTAAAGGTTCAGGACTGAGGTATCAACAGGTCTGCTTTCTTCTAAGGCTTCTCTCCTTGGCTTGCAGGTGGCTGCCTTTTCCCTGTGCCTTCACATGGTCCTTTCTTCGTGCACCCACACCCTTGCCATCTGTGTGTCCAAATCCCCTCTCTTTATAAGAATACCAGTCACAGTAGATTTGGGCCCAACCTGATGTCCTCATTTTAACTTAATCACCTTTTAAAGGCCATGTGTCCAAATACAGTCACATATGAGGTACTGGGGGGGGGGTAGGACTCCAACATATGGATTTTGCAGGAGGTACAATTTGGCTCATAACAGGTCTACATTTCTCCTCATCCTCCTTCCACAACACTGCTCCAAAGACAGCCAGCCCATGCCTCTTGCCACAGCACCGACGTCCAGATGGGCTTCTGCCTCAGATTTCCAAGATTCAGACTTCAATGTATTAAGAAAACAATGAAAAAAGAGGTTATTCTGCCTGGGATGGGGGTAAGGAAATGGCAGGAAGACATTTCCTTACTCCCCTAAAGCATGAGTAACAATTCACTGGTTCCAAAAGAGAGGAACACTCTAAGCCAAAGGACCTACATAAACAAAGATACCACGACGTTAAATTTCCTGGGGAGTCCGCGGACATTTAGATGTGGCTGTTGTGGCAGTGGCATGTGGGGGATGGTAAGAGCTGAGGCAAGAAGGGGTGGCTGAGATCATTGTAAAGAGCTTTCCTTTTGGCATAAAATCAGCCAGTGTTTTATCTAGACATGTAAACAGGGAATTAAGGCTGCTCCAATCTCTCAGGCAGAAAACAATATAATTATTGTAAAAGGTTGGAACATTGGAGGATGACGTTAAGACAAAGAGCTATTAGGTTGGGGGTAGGGACCAGAGTGGTGAATCAAAGATAAAGAGAGGAAAAAAGATAAAAACAGAGAAAAAGAGAGGAGAAAGAAAGAGAAGACAAAAAGAAGAGAAGCCTTGTTTGGATCTAAATGACAAATGCTAGTATCCCAGGTGGGATTCTGTTGAGTTGGGCTCTGTCTCCTCAAGAAAATAGTCTTCTCACAGACTTTCCGGAGTTGGCCAGCACCTCCGAAAAGTGGAGGATCCTGGGACCTGAGGGGGGTCTAGAAATCAGGGGGTCAGTTCCCATGGAGGCACAGCAGAAAAAGGACTGCCGGTGAGGAAGGTGGCAAAGAAGTCCAAGAGGGCCTGGCAAGCTGGATGAGATGGGCCTCTGTGGACTGATTGGCTGGGCATTGATAAGTCCAGTTCTGATTGGTCATTTAGGGAACACAGTCAACTCAAGACAGGGCTTATAGATCAAGGACCAGTTACCTGGATCCAAGCACACTGAGGACATCGTGGTGGCTCTCAAAAGGCTTAAGTTTTCTCTTTCAGGTACCGCAGCAGGAAAGCAGAAGGATCAGAGGAGAAAGGGGAGATCACTACACTTGGTCACGGTTGTCACTAGTGAGCTTATATCGGTGGTCAAGGCCAGAGGTTAAATGTAAGGAAGGCAAAAGAACCAAGTGAGGGGTTTTATCCCAACTGCAGGCTAAGCGAGCCATCTTCTCCTTTCCATGAGTGAGGCTTGCTCTGATTGAAGATGGCCAGAGTTGGCTATTGTATGTCAGTCAAAGTTGTGGCTATCTCCAAAATGAGTTTAATTTTTCTTTATGAAAACTCCAGTCACAAGAACACGAGGGTTTCAGCCCTGGCCGGGTGACTCAGTTGATTGGAGTTTTGTCCCATACACCAAAAAGTTGCAGGTTCGATTCCTGGTCAGGGCACATGCCTAGGCTACAGCTTCAATTCCTGGTACGGGAGGCAACAGATGGATGTTTCCTCCTTCCTTTCTCTCTAAAGTCAATAAAAATATATCCTTGTGTATGGATTAAAAAAAGAACAAGAACACTAGGGTTTCCACTCGGGGTCGGCCCCAGGGCTCATCAACCCTAATGGGTTAGGGAAGCCATCTGTGGGGCTTTGTTACCTCTGGGCTCAGAAGAGTGAAGCTCTCTAAGACCGTGTGGGGACAGTTGGAGCAGAGAGGCCTGGCTTGTCCCTATGCAACCTGTGACTGATGAGAGATTGGTGTGGGCATGAATCACTGGCAGGCAGAGGGAGAGGCTGCCAAAGTGGACAAAAGGGCTCTGAGGCCAAGCTCTCTGGAGCACACCCCATACACATGTTGCGCGTGGGTCACCGGCCAGCAGTGACCACGGAACGCTGTGGATGGCTCGACGATAAACACGCGAGAAAAAACACACATGCACAGAGATAAATTAGTTTCTGTGGGGAAGTAGGGACGAAATGGCCACCCCCCCTAGCGGGGAGCGTGCCGATTTACCGTCCATACCTGCTTTTATTGGGCTCATTTTGCATAATAATTCAGGTAAAGTACAGTACTCATTAGGGGGAAGTAAGGAACCATAGAAAACAAAGAACTCTGCCGGTCTATGGAGTTGGGGGTCAAAGAGCTGTAAGACTGAGGAACAAAATAACTTCCTCCTAAGACCCTTCTCATTCAACTGAGAGCACTCTAAACAAAGAAGGTTTCACAGTAATTTACATGTTCTTTCTTAGGCCTGATCACCACGGGGAATCCGCACTTCTCAGTACAGAGCTGCACCACCCTGTCATTGTTTCAGGCTTAGGTGGAGCAAGGGAACTAAGGCAACTGGGAGACAAGGAGGTTTTTTCCCCCAGACGCTGAGAACTCAGGCTATGTCAAAGCCAAGGAGCGAGGGTCCATCACCCCCTTTTGCTGCAGCCCCCACGTCCTTCTTTTGGGGGGCCTCCCAAAGTGATCGTGCCTGTCTTAGGTTGTTCCCCCCGTGGGGAATCTTACCTGTCTTTGGCTAACCGACCAAGGTTTTTGGGGTTCAGTCATGAATAAAGCAGCAGAAGCAGCATTCCTGCCAGGAAGATAAGCTTTTGTCTCCTTGCTGGCTTACAGTTCTAAGGGCGTTCCCTTAGCCTTAGCCTAGGCGGGGGTTTCAGCTTCTGATACCAGTCAGGGCAGTTCCCAACATACACAACCAGGCACAGCCACCCTGGAGGCAGCCCAAAGCCTTCCACTGTGTTCTCACCCACTCTCCGATAATTCTTCAGAGTTTATTAATATTGACTGTATCTTTCATTGTAAAAATAGTGTAAGCATGCTATAGAAAACCAAGAAAAAGTTTATCCACAACACTGCCCCCCAAAGTTAATTGTGATATAATCGTAGATTTCCTCCACTGGACCTTACCCACCTGAGTTCACAATCTCAGACTTAGGACTTGAGGCACTGGTGGAAGAAAATCAACCACAGCACCTTTAGCCTAAGACTTCATTCAAAAATGTCTGGCATGAGAGGGTTCCAAAAGAGCATTCTCACTTGGGCAAGGAGGCTGAATCAAGCAGCATTTTTTACAAGGATTTAAGAGGAAGGACCAGCTGAAGTTCAGCTAGTCTGGGGAATAGTTCAAATATGGCTCTCAGAAGCAGGAGGAATTGTTCCTTAGGATGAGGAGCCCTTGTCTGCGATTTTACCAAGGGCATGGGGAGGGGCAGCTAGGAGCTGGGCTCACGTGGGAGAGAGGTAGAGAGGAACGTCTAATGGGCGCAAGGACAGGCAAGGCCCGCATTGGGAATTGTCTTTTAGTGTCTCTTACAGGGATCAAACGCAAACCCAAGTCTTCTGACTCCTGGCCAGAGTTCTTGCCCCAGCCCACAGAGGTCCCAACCTTTCCTATTTTGGTGGGTGATTGAGAAAGAACCGTGGGTATCCTGGACCCATTTATGGAAGGAGAGGTTCAGATATGTAAAGGCTTGGACAGCAAAGGCAAAAATTGGAAGATTTTGTCCTAAGAATGTGACTTATCTTCAACAGCAATGGGGCCTACAGGAATTGAGTTCTATGTGTTGCTGGCCTGCAGCTACAGGTGAAGGGAATTCTGCCACTAGTGACTGCACAGTCAAGGGCTCCCTTATTTGCTGATGATTTGGCTCTGGAAGCACCACTGTATTAATAATTGTTGCTGTGCTGCTTAATAAAACTCCCCTGTGCTCGAGCCTCAGATTTTTTAGCTATTAGCCTGGGTGGGCAGGCCTGCAGCCCATAGTATCTCTGTCCCCTAGGGGCAATCAGCCCTGTGTATATCAGAGCTTCTTTTCCTTGCTGTGCCTTTAAGAGCTGCAGGAATGCAAAGAGAGTCTGGAGGAGGGGTGGGGTCTCCCAACAGGACTTCTGGGAAAGGATCCTGGGAATTTTTACCAGAAACAAAGCTGCGTTCCATCTCTGAGAAGTTGGGAGTGGTGTGTGTTAGGTCTGGGCTGGGATTGGACTGTAGAATCCCCATGGGAAGGAAAGCAAAAGGAAAAAGTTTGGGAGAGGGGAGAAGCCCTTCCTGCACTCACCCCGATGCACATTCACCTAGGCCTAGAAGCAGGGTGCAGCCACTAGGCTAGGGAGGGTCTGTGTGTGTCAAGGGTGATGTCAACAGATGCTGGACCCAGGAAGCTCTCTACCCCAGGTCAGCCTGCAGGGCCTCCAGGGACTGGCTTGCCAACAGCTGGACTTGATCACCAGCTTTCAAAGTGAGGTCACACATCTGGTGGAATAACAAGCAAACTTTGCTTTCCGGCTGTTTTTAGAGGATTTTCACAGCAGCGGCTTGAAACCGGGAAACCACCACCTGGACCCTTGACTCTTCTTGGAGAGGCACAGCATAGGAGAGTCCACCTGTGGGTGGTTTGCAGGACAATGCTGGCCCTTCGGCGAGCTTCCGCTTTCCTGGTTCTGCTCCTCTCAGCCTTTCTGCCCCCGCCACAGCGCGCTCAGGACCCAGGCATGGTGCACTACATCTACCAGCGCTTTCGAGTCATGGAGGTAGGTGGCATCTGTGCACCTGATATGGGAACATGCCTCCCGGAAATCGCCTTATCTTACCCACGCTTCCCTATCTACTTGGGTTTGTTTTCCCAGATAGTAAATGATAAATACATTGCTAAAGTTACACTTGAAACTTTTTATACTCCAGTGGTTTACAGCACCAGAGTCCGGACTGCACCACTCCCCGACCTGGAGCAGGGCCTCCCTCTGTGCGGTTTTCTCTGTAAAATGGGGATGATAATGGAATGTACCTCATAAAGCTATTCTGAAGATTTAATAAATTGTTCTGTTAGAACATGGCCTGGCACACTGGGAACTGTCCAAAATGTTATTATTCAATAGCTCTACTTTTAAAATATGAAAATTGAAGTTGGGGGTCATTTTTTTCTTCATTTTCACAATATCAGGATAATAGCTAATTTTAGCTTTTCCTCTTGTCTTTTCATGATAAACCATTAGGTCATGGTAACAAGTCATAACACTGTTGTGCCAAGAAGCTGTCATAGATTCCTTTGCCAAACTAGGTTCAGATTTAGAAATGAGCAGATTTCAGCAATGTTAGGCAGAGAGAAAGTATCTGGGCCCTCTTCTCCATATGTTGCAGCCACCACGTCATTAAACTTTGCTAAACCCAACATTTTTGCAGCATGACGAGGCTCCCATGGACAAATGTAACACTCTGACCTACCTAGCCTTTGACACAGCCCTGGTCTTGACATTGACTATTTCATACTTAATTGCCCTGCTTTTGTACAAGTTAAATGATAAATTATCTTCTTTCAAAGACACTCTTATCTCCAATATTTATTTTCAATGTTTTTCTGAAAAATCTTAAAGTCCAAATTATTTGCTCATCTAGTTACAGTCAGGATTAAATAATTCCACAGAGCAAGCCCAGCACATTTCCCAATGTTGTCAGGACAACAGGCTGGAGTCTGGAGGCGGCTGTGGATGGAATGTCCCCAGGCCACTGGCCTCATGCTGCTTCTTCACTTGCTTTCTCCTCAGATACCTCCTCCCCACTCTCACCTCTTGAAAGTGCTGGAATTATACTCAACCACTACATGTAGCACCCACTTGCCCAACATTTTAAGATATACATTTATAGATCTATGACTAAATGCACAAAAAAATTAAAAATTGATTCCTTAAAGTGTCAAAAGTACTTTGAATTAAGAAAATAAGGGGGTGATTATTATTTCCCCCTTTCTGATTATTTGTATTTTAAAAATCTTTTTTCTATGAATGATAGCTATTTATGTTACTTGGGTAACTTCAATAACTAGTAGTAATTTGGGAATTTATTTTCTGACTGAAGCAAGGACTGCAAAAATGTACCCAAGCAACGAGGGCATACATTCAAGACTTCCGCGAGTTCTCGAAAAACATATCCGTTATGCTGGGGCAATGTCAGACCCACACGAGTGAATATAAGAGTGCAGTGGACAACCTGGCACTGAGGGTCGAACGTGCCCAACGGGAGATTGACTACCTGGAGTACCTGCGAGAAGCTGACTTGTGTGTAGAATCAGAGGACAAGATGCTGGCAGAAAAGCTAGTCCAAGAAGCTGAAGAAGAGAAAAAGATCCAGACTCTGCTGAATGCAAGTAAGAGACCTGTGTCTTTTACACTGTCCTAGGGACTGTCACTCAGAGGTGCAGACGTTGTGGGGGGTGCTGACTGAGTGTGAGAGTAATAGCTGCATGTGCACCCTTGTGTGCTGTGCTGGGGGTGGGGCAGCCTTAGCAGGGAGCAGGTGTCCAAAGGAAAACCCATTCTTAGAAAGCAGCTTTTTCTTTCACATAGCATTCCTAAGGGCCCCATGGAAGGTCAGGGCTACAGTGTCAGAGGTCAGCCCAGGTAGGGCATCTCCTGATAGACCTTGGTTTGATGGAGGCATGTGGTTCTAGATCCTTCCAGGGAGAGGGACAGGTTGGTGGATTCTCCTAGAGCTCTGGGAGTAGGGAGAGGCTGCCAATGTGCTGGGCATCCCTCAGGGTCGGGGTCTGCAGTGAATGATTATTGCGTGTGCTGTTGGGATGGTGATATCTAGGGGATTTGCCTCCTATCTCGTGGTCCATCAGAATGACTCCCAGGCCATTAAGAATAATGTTTAGGTGCTCAAATTAAAATAACAAGTAGCAAGCAACAAGAACATTAAAAAAAAAAGAAAATGTCCTACACATGAGTCCATTTTGTTAAAACCATGAGGGGCACAGTTCCCCCAAGAGCCTATATTATGAGATGGTTTTATTGCAAATGGGAAAACTTTATTTATAGGCCAAGTGTGTGTGCTCCAAGTGTGAGAAACCCCATTAGGGAAGGAAGATGGAAGCTGAATGCCATCATTGTGCTAAGGGTGTCACACACCTTCTCAGTGTGACCTGCGCAAGACCTCCATGGTTCTTCCTAAATGAGGGGACTTGTGATGTGAGTTTTGAACAAAGAAATCAGAGAAGAATGTGCAGAGGGCACATGTCACAGGTATGAGGGACTGTCCACTTTCCCACATAGATCTGCAGAAATGGCCAAGTGGCCCTGTACAGGGCAGGTGAATGCGGAAGTAAGATCGAAGAGTTCAGTAGAATCCAGATAATGAAAGACCTTGCATGCTAAGGGGGTTGAATTTGACTTGAGGACCTACAGAAACCGCTGAGCAATTTTAAGCAGTGACATGACATGAAGGAAGAAGGCAAGGCTAGAGAGAGGAGACCTGTCAGGGGAACGCTGCAGTAATTTGGGCAACAGTGATTGATGGTGCCTGCATTAAGTGTCAGTGAGATGGAGAACAGATGGGTTTGAAAGTCACTGAAAGTTGGAATCCACATGGCTCAGTGACTGATAATTAAAAGTGAAAAGAGAGTGAGAAGGATGCATCCAGGATGTTGAGACAGGAGACCCAAGAGGAGTTTTGGAGCTCTTATTACTCTACTATCTTGGGGGAGAGCACTTACTAATCTTCTAGATCGTTTATTTGCTCACTGCTTATTTTCTGCCTCTGCATCCAGAACATCAGCTCAATGAGAGCCTACATCCAGCATTTCATATCAGTGTTGGGTGCCAGTGCCTACAGTAGTGTTTATGTTCAACAACTCTTGGTTAGTGAACAACTAAGAGAACAAATGAATGAATGGATGGAAGGGTTCTCAGCACAGACAGAGGGGCTATTAGGCTTTGAAAGAAAAGATAACATGTTATCTCGGAGTCAGAAGACAGAGAGGAGGATGTCTTATCTATAATAGGAAAGAGTTGATCAAGGTGGTCAAGTGAGTAATCCTTTTTGGCCCTGACACTGCCTTCAGATGAACTATCCTCTGAGAGGGAAAAACTGGGGCTAAGCATGGGATGAGGGAAGGGGGGAAAGGGTAAGGATGAGCCAGCAGAGCATGAACAGAGGCTGTCCAAAATGCAGATGGGTAAGATTGGGTACTAATGTGGCCTGAACTAGAATGTGCCTGAACTTTTGTGCCAGGGATCAGGTGGGACTCCAACCCTGAACAGTTGTACTGAATTGGATCCCTGAGCTGCTCCTGGTCCCTAAACACCCTGAGCCCCTCAGGCCTTGAAGTTGCCCCTTGCCACTACACCTTAAGCTCAGCAAGGGCCCTGAGTCTGGACTTGCTGCTTATTCAACTCTCATCCTCTACCTCATCCCTCAGACACTGGAGGCTGAAATATTCCCTCTCCTGGTTCCATGGTGAGTGAAAACTTCTCTTTCAGCTTTCCAGAGATTGCTCCTTTCATGCCTGTTGCCTCTGGGGCGCTCATTTGGTGACTCAGTTTATGATTAACAGCCACGTTTTCCCCCACTATTGGATGGGCCCTGTCTATATACACAGTGGGGATGGAGAAGAGAATTGAACACACTATGTCCTGAACTAGCTCTCTTACTGCTTCTTTACTCTGGTCTTGCCTCCTACAATCCAACTGCTGTCACGCAGGGCTTCCCACCACACAAAATGGATCACACTTCTCCTCTAAGTACAATTATGTTTTATCATTCACCATCCATTATCACCAACAATAAAAAAATCCATTTGAATCTGCACTAGTCTTATATAGAGAAGACCTCTCACAAAGTGGCCCAAGATCATGTCCAGCTTCTTAGGTTCCTGTAATTTATCCAATGCAGTTGCAACTGAAAATACAAATATTGTTTTCTACCCATCCTTTATGACTCAGAAATGCTGTGGATTCTCCGGGAAGCCTTGGTGGTGGTGGGGAGGGGTGGAGGCACAAGACTCCGGGCAGTTTGGCCCGTAGAACTCCTGCAGCACCTCACTCAGTCCTCCAAGGGAGTGCTAGTACTTTCAACAATATGTGTCCATGTGTAGTTGACTGCTCAACCAGACCATGAGACTATCACATCCCTACTTCCGTATTCCCAGGGTCTGGCTCAGGGCCTCCCATGGAGGAAGCTGTAAAAATTGTCTACAAAAGAGCCCAGTTTAGGGAAAGGAAAACGTATAAACAATCACAACTGTGTGATTAGTGTTCCTTAGCCTATTATTTTCAGAGGTTCTCTGCCCAAACATAGACTTTGCAATGCCAGTTTATTCCCCTACCTTACACTGCTTTGTATTTTATATACTGTGCCCACCCTTCACTTTTTTTTTTTCCATTTCTGTTAGTAACTATGTCTATCTTGGTTTTCAAATGCCGTATAACAAATTGCCACCGATTTAGCAGCTTAAAGCAATACACATTTATTCTCTCAGAGTTTCTGGGGTCAGGAGTCCAGATACAGCTCAGAGCCTTTGTTCAAGGTCGCAGGAGGGAACAATCAAGGTGCTGGCTAGGCTATGTTCTCACAGGGGGCTCAGGGCTTTTTTCTAGGCTCACAGAGGTTATTGGCAGAATTACCATAACTTTCTCTTGGTGGTAGGACTGGGGCCCTCAGCTTCTGGAGGCTGCCCTTTCTGTGGGCAGCTTACAACATGGTTAGTTGCTGCTTTAAGGCCAGGAGGAGAGGGCCTGTCTTCAGGAAGTACCCAGTCCCTCTTTTAAGAGTTTTTATCTGATGTAAGGCAGTCCCACCCATAATAATCTTCCTTTTGATGAACTCAAAATCAACTGATTTGGCAACTTAATCGTGTCTGCAAAATCCCTTCAGCTTTATCTTATACTATAATCCTATCATATTGCCAGGTCCTGCCCTCACTGAAGGGGAGGGGATTATGTAGGGCAGGGATGTCAGATCCATTTTCATGGGGGGGCCACATCAGCGTTGTGGTTGCCTTCAAAGGGCTGAAATAATTTTAGGACTGTATAAATGTAACTACTCCTTAACTATTAAGGAGTTGAAATTACATTCGGCCCTTTGAAGGCAACCACAAGGCTGATGTGGCCCCCAGTGAAAATGAGTTTGACACCCCTGATGTAGGGCATGCCCACTAGATGGTGGGAATCTTGGGAATTGTCTTAATAGAGTTTTGCCTACCATCCTGGCTGGTGTGGCTCATTGTATTGAGGTCTGGCCTGCAAACAGGTTCCATTGCTGGTCAGGGCACATGCTCAGGTTGCAGGCATTGGGGGCATGTGGGAAACAACCGACCCATGTATCTATAGCACATCAGATATTTCCCTCCCTTCCTTTCTCCCTCATTCTCCTCTCTCTAATAAATAAATAAATAAAATCAGACCCACCTTCTTCCTATAAGTCTTTGCTCTTCCTGTCTTCTAATCTTGGACTGCAGGGACTGAGCCAGCTATGGAATTTACACTAAAGTTTCTGAGACTGAAGTCTGAAGACACCTTGGGATTATGGGCTGGGGAAAAATCACCAGAGGTCACATCATAAGGTTTTGTTCACAGATACATTCTTGGCTTTTTTTCAGAAAATCTGTAGGGACAGGACAATACAACTTCCTTGGAAAAATTCAATCTTGTATCTCAGGAGATTTCAAGAAAATCCTAACATCAGTCTAAATGGTTCTTATTTATTCTGGAAATGTTTCTTGGGCAACACTGAAGGACCAGATACTGGGGATAATTAATAAGATCGAGTTGCTCTGTAATGAAGCCATTCCCCATAGAGCAGTTCCTGGTCTTCAACCTTTATTTAGAAAAGATCCCCGAAGATATTCTCATGAGTGCTACCTGAGTACATCCCAGGATGTTTAGGGGTTATATAAAATTTTGAGAATCTTAACCTTAACAAACGCTCTATTTCTCTTTCTCCCCCTCTCCCTTCCTCCTTCTCTTCCTCTGCCACACATTCTTGTACATGTGTATGTGCACACGTGGCCAGACAAAACCAAAAACACACACTTTAGAATGCAGTGAGTGAAAGTTAATTGAATACAATCTAACTTACATTTGGAAATCATTCCAAGTCTTTGATTATTTAACTCTTATTAGTACAAACATATTTTGCATTGCAGTTGGCAGTTTATGGCAAAGCACGTTGCCTCAGATACCCAATCAAAAGTCTTCAGCCAATTCCACTTGCCTGCATTCTTGTGTGGATAAGAGTATTAACCTCTTGTAAATAGCTTGTAAAGGAAAATTCTCCAGGCAGTCAAAACAAGGCATTATAAAAGATTTTATATTATTTCCTGTTTTAGTCCAACTCCTTTTATTACAAGGGTGGGTACAAGTTACCTCA